CAGGGTTACACCTTCAGTCTTGGCTCCGGTTCTGTCTCTTGGCGGTCTACCCACTCTTCTTCTGTTCTCAGCTCCAGTTGTGAGGCTGAGATCTACGCTGGGGCCATGGCTGCACAGGAGCTACGCTGGCTCACCTACCTGCTGACCGACTTGGGAGAGGCGCCTCGTTCTCCTCCAGTTCTGTACGTCGACAACAAGGCCATGCTGGCCTTGAGTCAGGAGCACAGACTGGAGCACAGAACGAAGCACATTGCTTTGCGCTACTTCATTGCTCGAGAGTTGCAGCAGCGTGGCCAGCTTCGTCTCGCTTACGTGGCCTCACAGGCCAACACTGCTGATGTTTTCACCAAGGCACTTCAGCCTTGTAATCATCAGCGTTTCTGTACTGTGTTAGGCCTTGTACCTACTGTGCCTCACTTGCTTACTTCTTGACTCTGCTTGTACTGTACTCTATACACATATACCTGCATTCTTACACTTGCTAGGTTGTGTTCACTATATTGTTTGCTTTCCTTCATATAACTCTGCATGTGAACTGGCCTTGTGGCCCTTTGCTTGTGCTCAGACTGCGTGGTGACTTTGTGATCCACCCTGAGCTTGCTTTGCCTTCTTGACTGGTCTTGTGACCTCTTGTTCTCCCCCACTTTGCCTATGGGGGTGTGTCAAACTTATATATGCTTAAGTCTATTTAGGCTGTAGTGGGGTAGTTCTTATAGGGTACAACACTTTTAGGTTTCCTACTTGTATCCTCCTGCTTCCTAGTTCATTCATTCCATTCTCTCACATTATAACACGTGCTACTAGTCCTACAGTCACTCGTCTCCTCGCTACTGTCGTCACTGACCCTGACCTTGAGTCTACTGCAGCGTTTGCCTTAGTTACTGAGCTAGTCGACTTTGCAGCTAGGAGTCGTCTCGACTACGTCGTGACTCTTGTCACTGAGTCTGAGTCTGTCTGTCCTCCGTCCATCGAGGGTGAGCTTGCCCTTGGCAGTGACGTACTTGAGGACAGACAGTTTGAGCTTGAGTGTCTTGCGGCCGCTTTACCTCGTTTCGCATCCATGCTGCTTTGCCGTGAGGGAGACCCGGATGCACTTGACATCCCTACCCCGCGCTCTTACGCTGAAGCGATCGCGGGTGAGTACTCCTCTCAGTGGCAGAGAGCCATGGACGCAGAGATGGCTTCCTGGAAGTCCATAGGCACCTATGTCGACGAGGTTCCTCCTCCTGGGGCGAACATAGTCGATGGCATGTGGATTTTCATAGTGAAGCGGCCGTCGGGTGCTCCGCCTGCCTTCAAGGCGCGTTACGTTGCTCGAGGCTTCAGTCAGCGACAGGGGGTCGACTTCTTCCACACCTTCTTCCCCACCCCGAAGATGACTACTCTTCGGGTGCTGCTGCACGTTGCAGCACAGCGTGACTACGAGCTGCACTCCTTCGACTTCTCCACAGCTTTCTTGCAGGGCACCCTTCACGAGGAGATCTGGCTGCGCCGCCCACCTGGCTTCACTGGGTTGTTTCCTGCGGGTACCTAGTGGAGCCTCCGGTGGCTAGTCTACGGTCTCCGACAGGCGCCCCAAGAGTGGCACGACACACTCAGGACTAAACTTGCGGCTTTTGGGTTTGCTCCTTCCTCTGCTGACCCATCGCTGTTTCTAAGCACCGACACTACCCTGCCGCCGTTCTTCGTTCTAGTGTACGTCGACGACTTGGTTTTTGCTACTGCTGACACTGAGGCGCTGGCCCTAGTGAAGGCAGAGCTGCAGGAGAGACACACTTGCACTGACCTGGGTGAGCTGCGTAGTATCTTGGCTTGCAGACACCCGGGACAGAGCACGGCGCACCATCACCCTGACTCAGTCACACATGGTGCACCAGGTCCTTCAGCGCTTCAGCTTCCAGTTCTCCTCGCCACAGCCCACTCCTCTGTCTACTGGCCACTCGCTCTCAGCTCCACCTTCGGACGAGTCCGTAGAGCCGAGTGGTCCATACCTAGAGCTTGTGGGTTGCCTCATGTACCTGATGACGTGCATACGACCTGACCTCGCATACCCTCTCAGCCTCGTAGCTTGCTACGTGGCTCCCGCTAGACACCGAAAGGTGCACTGGGATGCTGCGAAGAGGGTACTGCGTTACTTGTGCAGTACACCAGGCATGGGGCTCATGCTTGGAGGACAGGGTTCAGTGGTACTCACAGGACACTCCGACGCTTCTTGGGCCGACGACAAGGCAACTCAGCGTTCGTCACAGGGTTACACCTTCAGTCTTGGCTCTGGTTCTGTCTCGTGGAGGTCCACTCGTTCTTCTTCTGTGCTTAGTTCCAGGTGTGAGGCCGAGATCTACGCTGGGGCCATGGCTGCACAGGAGCTACGCTGGCTGATCTACTTGCTGACCGACTTGGGGGAGCGGCCTCGTTCTCCTCCAGTTCTGTATGTCGACAACAAGGCAATGCTTGCCTTCTGTCACGAGCAGAGACTGGAGCACAGAACGAAGCACATTGCTCTTCACTACTTCCTTGCGCGTGAGCTGCAGCAGCGTTGTCAGCTCCGCCTTTCCTATGTAGCCTCGCGTGCCAACACTGCTGATGTGTTCACCAAGGCTCTGGGTCTGGTGACCATCAGCGTTTCTGTACTGCTCTTGGGCTTGTGCCCACTCTGCCTCACCTGCTGGTTGCTTGACTTGCTCTTGTTGTACAGTGATATATATCTTTACACCTGCTTGTTTACTCTTGCTATGTTGTGATCAGTGTACTGCCTTGTTCTTTTAACTCTGCATGTAAACTGGCCCTGTGGCCGCTTGCTTGTGCTCGGATTGTGTGGTGTCCTTGAGATCCACCCTGAGCATTGCTTTGCTTTGCTTTGTTGTCTTGCTTGACTGGTCTTGTGATTGTCTTGTTGTCCCCCATTTAGCCTATGAGGGTGTGTCAAAGTACAATCTTACTTGTAGGCTATAGTGGGGCACTCCTTATGGGGTACAACACTTCTAGGGTTAGTACTTGTACCCCAACTTTTGCTAATCCAATCATTCCTGCACAGTTACTATGACAAATCGAGGTAGCAAGGATTGCACTAGAGTGTTCAATGAGTACGAAGTATGAGCGAAGGCATGAGCGAATACTTATACGCGAAAACGTGCAAACGGTAACGCAGTGTGTGCGAGCTAGCTAGTGCTACGCTGGCGCGATGTTCGGGCTAGTCACGAAGCGTAGGCCGGCTCGGCTGCTCCAGAAGTGCGAGGTTTGGTGAAATAGTGCAGGCGAAGTTGGCGAAGCCTCGTTAGCAATTATGGGCGAACAAAGGCTGCTTCTGTACGCGATGTGGACGGTCGCGGTAAGAAATAGCGAGAAAATTCCTTACACTACCCCCCCCCCCCCCCCCCCCCCCCCCCCCCCCCTCTCAAGAAGCCCCCTCTGCTACGCAAGTGCGAGTATATCGCGGAAACCTCGGCTCCTCAGGAACACTTGCAGGGCAGGGTGGTTTTTTATGTTGGCCAGGGGCAACCAGCTATCCTCAGTTGGTGTGCGGTCCTTCCAGCGAACGAGGAACTCGATCCTCTTGATGCCTGTGGGGTGGCAAATCCGATGGCTCATAATTTTTTCGGGCTCGATGGTCGGCTCCGATGCAGGGCGAGTCATGGATGGCGGGCGATGACGAGGCAGTTGGCTCGTGCTTGGGATGTAAAGGCGAAGCAGGCTGGCGTGGAATGATGGGCTGATGTATCAGTCTGTCGGCAACAGTAAGTGGGCGGTAACTGGGGTGATCATGTGGCTGATTTGAAATGGTCCACAGTAGCGCGGTCGTAATTTCGGTACGACGGGCAGTCTTAAGTCCTGAGTGTTGAGCAGTACGTAATCCCCTGACTGGTACGTGACTGGGCGGCGGTGGCGGTCAGCGTTGCGTTTAGCGATGACGTTGGCTTTTTTAATTGCTTCTGCGCCTCTGGTGCGGGCAGCTTGCAGAATCTCGTCAAAGTGTTGGGCGCGTGGCGTTGGGTTGTCCGGACTCGGCGCCATGGGCACTGTTGGGTTTTGCCCGTAGTTCAGGTAAAACGGGGATTGCTGCGTCGTGGCTGACGTGGCGTTGTTGTAGGCGAAATCGATCAGTGGCAGCTGCTGCTCCCAAGATGTCGGGTCGTCGCACGTGGCACGAATCAACTGCTCCATCGTCTGATTGGTCCGCTCCGTTTGACCGTCGGTCTCAGGGTGGTACGATGAACCGAACTGTAGCCTGGTCCCGAACTGCTCCCACAGGTTCTTCCAGAAGTTGCTGGTAAACTTCGTGTCGCGGTCGCTGATTATCGCAGCTGGTATCCCGTGAAGTCGAACGACGGCTGCGATGAACAGGCGAGCGGTTTCTTCGGCTGAGATCGATTTCTTGCACGCAGCGAAGTGAGCCATTTTCGTCAGTCTGTCAACGACGACCATAACCACACCGTTACCCCTAGGGTTCGAAGGTAACCCTGTGACGAAATCCATGGTAACCTGCTGCGATGCGCGCTCGGGCGGTGGAATCGGCTGCAATTGACCCGCCTTTCTCTTTCGCGAGCTCTTCATTACCTGACACGTAGGACACGAGCCCACGTGGTGCTGTACGTCGGTCAACAGCTCCTGCTAATAGTAATAACGCTGCAATTGCTGTCGCGTTTTTTCTACCCCGAAATGGCCCGAGGTAGTCCCGTCGTGTGCCTCCTGCAGTAACAGTTCCCTCAGTAGTGAGTACGCGGGTACCCAAATGCGGTTGGTGCCTGTTTTTACGTAATAAACTCCCTTAGCTTCTGCCAGTTTCTGCGAATTTCCAGTCGTGAAAAATGGGTCGGTACTGTATCCGTGGATGAATAGGCCTGTTATCAGTTGGTTGGTTTGGACGAGTAGGATGGCGTGGAGTTGGGGGGTAGGACGTGTGAGTGCATCGGGGATGTTTGATGCGCCTTTTTTGTACGTGAATGTGTAGTGGAAGTTGGACTCCAGATAGTCCAACCAGCGGATCTGACGTGGGTGTTAGAATGGTAGTGACTTAGGAACCATGGCTAGGAAGGATGTCGAGAGAGTTGAGTGTCGAGAGAATTGGAAAGGGAGAATCGAGAAAGAGATGGTTTCACTATAGGAAGTTGGGATACAAATAACAAACCCTAAATTGGGTTGTACTCACTACAGAGTACCCCACTGTAGGCTAAACAGCAAATACATTCTGACACACCCCCATAGTCAAAGTGGGGTATAATCAACAGAGCAAGCAGTCATAGAGCAGGTTCACAAGTACAAGCAAAGCTAGAGGCATTCACAAAGGGCAAGCGAGGAGGAGGAGGCTGGACTGTGAGAGGAGAGGAGATAGGAGGCGACGGCTGATGCTGCAGACACACGGGCAACAGGGGCGGCGCGCACTGTGGCTACCAGGGCCGTATCCCCGGACTACAGGAGTAACTGGCTCTGCGGCTAACTCTGAGCGGCAGGAGCAACGGACCCACGGGCGACAGGCGCAGCAGGCTCTCTGAGCTACCAGAAGCAGAGCCCTGGACTACAGGTGCTGCGAACGACAAGACGGCAGCCTCCGCTCAACCTCCCCCAACTGTCCCACCCCCCTTACACACACCCCTTGCTGCACCCCTAGCTCCACTCCCACGTCACCCCCCTAGCACCACTCCCTCAGCTCCCACACACCCACCCCCCTCAGCGGCAGCTGCAGCAATGGGAGACGGAGGAGGAGGAGGAGCAGGGGACGGTTCACACACCCGCCACCCCCATACCCTCCCCCCACTGCTGCACCTGCAGCAGGGGATGGAGGAGAAGTGGGGGGGGGGGGGGGGGGGGGGGGGGGGGGCTGTGCATGGCGCGTGCAGAGGGCAGCAGGGCGCACGGGGCGCACAGGGCAGCAGGGCAGCAGGGCGCACAGGGCTGCAGGGCAGCAGGGCGCACAGGGCAGCAGGGCGCGCGGGGCGCACAGAGCTGCAGGGCGCGCGGGGCGCACAGGGCAGCAGGGCAGCAGGGCGCACAGGGCTGCAGGGCAGCAGGGCGCGCGGGGCAAACAGGGCAGCAGGGCGCACAGGGCTGCAGGGCAGCAGGGCGCACAGGGCTGCAGGGCAGCAGGGCGCGCGGGGCGCGCAGGGCTGCAGTGCGCGCAGGGCAGCAGGACAGCAGGGCGCGTAGGGCGCGCAGGGCTGCAGGGCGCACGGGGCGCAGCAGGGCTGCAGGGCGCGCGGAGCGCGCAGGGCAGCAGCAAGGGCTGTAGCGGCAACAGCAAGGCAGCAGGGCGCGCAGGGCTGCAGGGCAGCAGGGCGCGCGGGGCGCGCAGGGCTGCAGGGCGCACGGGGCGCACAGGGCTGCAGGGCGCGCGGGGCGCACAGGGCAGCAGGGCAGCAGGGCGCACAGGGCTGCAGGGCAGCAGGGCGCGCGGGGCAAACAGGGCAGCAGGGCGCACAGGGCTGCAGGGCAGCAGGGCGCACAGGGCAGCAGGGCGCGCAGGGCTGCAGTGCGCGCAGGGCGCGCAGGGCAGCAGGACAGCAGGGCGCGCAGGGCTGCAGGACGCGCGGGGCGCACAGGGCAGCAGGGCGCGCGGGGCGCAGCAGGGCTGCAGGGCGCGCGGGGCGCGCAGGGCAGCAGCAAGGGCTGTAGCGGCAACAGCAAGGGCTGTAGCGGCAGCAGCAGGGCAGCAGGGCGCACAGGGCTGCAGGGCAGCAGGGCGCACAGGGCTGCAGGCCAGCAGGGCGCGTGGGGCGCGCAGGGCTGCAGGGCGCGCATGGCGCACAGGGCAGCAGGACAGCAGGGAACGAGGGGCAAACAGGGCAGCAGGGCGCGCGGGGCGCGCAGGGCTGCAGTGCGCGCAGGGCGCGCAGGGCAGCAGGACAGCGGGGCGCGCAGGGCGCGCAGGGCTGCAGATCCCCTCCCCCCCACCGCTGCACCCGCAGCAGGGGGATGGAGGAGAAGTTGGGGGGGGGGGGGGGGTTGGGGGGGCTGATGCTGCAACTCCCCTCCCCCCCACTGCTGCTGCAGATCCCCTCCCCCCCACTGCTGCACCCTCAGCAGGGGGATAGAGGAGAAGTTGGGGGGGGAGGGGGGGGGGGGGGGCTGATGCTGCAACTCCCCTCCCCCCCACTGCTGCTGCAGATCCCCTTCCCCCCACTGCTGCACCCGCAGCAGGGGGATGGAGGAGAATTGGGGGGGGGGGGGGGGGGGCTGGGGGGGGCTGGTGCTGCAGATCCCCTCCTGCCTCCCCCTGAACCTCCAAGCTCCCAACACAGGGTGCGGCAGGGAGAGAGAGAGGAGAAAAGGGCGGGGGGGGGGGGGGGGGGGCTGATGCTGCAAATCCCCTCCCCCCACTGCTGCTGCAGATCCCCTCCACCCACTGCTGCACCCGCAGCAGGGGTGGAGGAGAAAGGGGGGGGGGGCGGGGGGGGCTGGTGCTGCAGATCCCCTCCTACCTCCCTCTGAACCTCCAAGCTCCCCCCCCCTCCCAACACAGGGTGCGGCAGGGAGAGAGAGAGGAGAAAAAAGGGGGGGGGGGGGGGGCTGATGCTGCAAATCCCCTCCCCCCACTCCTGCTGCAGATCCCCTCCCCCCCACTGCTGCACCCACAGCAGGGGTGGAGGAGAAAGGGGGGGGCGGGGGGGGCTGGTGCTGCAGATCCCCTCCTGCCCCCCCCTGAACCTCCAAGCTCCCCCCCCCTCCCAACACAGGGTGCGGCAGGGAGAGAGAGAGGAGAAAAGGGCGGGCGGTGGGGGGGGGGGGGCTGATGCTGCAAATCCCCTCCCCCCACTGCTGCTGCAGATCCCCTCCCCCCACTGCTGCACCCGCAGCAGGGGTGGAGGAGAAAGGGGGGGGGGCTGGTGCTGCAGATCCCCTCCTGCCTCCCTCTGAACCTCCAAGCCCCCCCCCCCTCCCAACACAGGGTGCAGCAGGGAGAGAGAGAGGAGAAAAGGGGGGGGGGGGGGGGGGGGGGGGGCTGATGCTGCAATCCCCTCCCCCCACTGCTGCTGCAGATCCCCTCCCCCCCACTGCTGCACCCGCAGCAGGGGTGGAGGAGAAAGGGGGGGGCGGGGGGGGCTGGTGCTGCAGATCCCCTCCTGCCTCCCCCTGAACCTCCAAGCTCCCCCCTCCTCCCAACACACGGTGCGGCAGGGAGAGATAGAGGAGGAGGCGCGGCGGCAGCTGCTGCTGCTGAGGCACATCCGCCACCCCCTCACACCCTCTCCCCCCCGTCCCCATGGAGGAGGGGGAGGGGGGAGAGGGGGGCGGGGGCGGAGCTGCGCGTGCGACTGCAGGGCACGCGGGCAGGAAGTCATCACCCCTCTTGCCATAGCTAGGGGCGACGAGGCCAGTGGGGCCGAGGGGTGCGGCTAGGTATGGGGCCGGGCGCTGGGCTAGGGACGGGGCCGGGTGCTGGGCAGGTACGGGGCCGGGCGCTGGGCAGGTACGGGGCCGGGTGAGGGCTAGGTACGGGGCCGGGCGTTGGCTAGGATCGGGGCCGTGCGCTGGGCTAGGTACGGGCCGGGCGCGGGGCTAGGTACGGGCCGAGCGCGGGCGAGAGACGGGGCCGGGCGCGGGCAGGGTACGTGGCCGGGCGCGGGCGAGGTACAGGGCCAGGCGCTGGCTAGGTATGGGGCCGGACGCTGGCTAGGGTCGGGGCCGTTCGCTGGGCTAGGTACGGGCCGGGCGCGGGGCTAGGTACGGGCCGAGCGCGGGCGAGAGACGGGGCCGGGCGCGGGCAGGGTACGGGCAGGTCGCGAGGCTAGGTACGGGCCGGGCGCGGGGCTAGGAACGGGGCCGAGCGCGGGCAGGGTACGGGCCGGTCGCGAGGCTAGGTACGGGCCGGGCGTTGGGTGCGGAACGGAGGCCGGGCGCGAGGCTAGGTACGGGCCGATCGCGGGCTAGGTACGGGGCCAGGCGCGGGCTAGGTACGAGGCCGGGCGCGAGGCTAGGTACGGGCCGATCGCGGACTAGGTACGGGGCCAAGAGCGGGCGTGGTACGGGCCGGGCGCAGGGCTAGGAACGGGGCCGAACGCGGGCTAGGTACGGGCCGATCGCGGGCTAAGTACGGGCCGGGCGCGGGGCGACAGAGTCGACGGGGCCAGCGGGGCCGAGGGGCGCGGCTAGGGGCGACGGGGCCAACGGGGCCGAGTGTCACAGCTAGGGGCGATGGGGCCAAGGGGCCGAGCCTAGGGGCTAGGGGCTACGCCAAGTGGCGACGGGCCGGGGCCTAGGCTAGCAGGGCATTAGGTGGTGGGCCCATTGATGTTAGGTCCTAGAACTTATTGCTCTTAATACCATGTTAGAATGGTAGTGACTTAGGAACCATGGCTAGGAAGGATGTCGAGAGAGTTGAGTGTCGAGAGAATTGGAAAGGGAGAATCGAGAAAGAGATGGTTTCACTATAGGAAGTTGGGATACAAATAACAAACCCTAAATTGGGTTGTACTCACTACAGAGTACCCCACTGTAGGCTAAACAGCAAATACATTCTGACAGTGGGTTGAGATTCGGTTGGGCGCGGAGGTACTGTAGTGATCGGCGATCTGTCCATACTGTCACGTCGGCGCCAGTCAGGTAGCATCGCCACACTTTGAACGCGTGCACGATCACCAGCATTTCGCGGTCGTGTATCGCGTAGTTGCGCTCGGGCGGGTATAGCTTGCGGGACTCGTACGCGATTGGCTGGAGGCCGTTCCCGAAGTCCTGCAACAGTACAGCTCCCGCGGCGATGTCACTTGCATCGGTGATGAGCTCGAACGGATGGTGCGGATCTGCGATGTGAAGCACGGGCGGCGAGCTCAAAAATTGTTTGAGGGCCGAGAAGGTAGCTTGCTCTTGTGAGAATTGAGAATGGAATGAATGAACTAGAAATGAGATGGGTACAAGTAGGAAGCACAAAAGTGTTGTACCCTCTAAGGAATACCCCACTACAGCCTAAATAGACTATAGCATATATAAGTTTGACACACCCCCATAGGCAAAGTGGGGGAGAACAAGAGGTCACAAGACCAGTCAAGAAAGCAAAGCAAGCCCAGGGTGGATCACAAAGTCACCACACAGTCTGAGCACAAGCAAAAGGGGCCACAAGGCCAGTTCACATGCAGAGTTATATAAAGGAAAGCAAACAATACAGTGAACACAACCTAGCAAGTGTAAGCATGCAGGTATAAGTATATAGAGTACAGTACATGCAGAGTCAAGAAGTCAGCAAGTGAGGCACAGTAGGTACAAGGCCTAACACAGTACAGAAACGCTGATGATCACAAGGCTGAAGTGCCTTGGTGAAAACATCAGCAGTGTTGGCCTGAGAGGCCACGTAAGCAAGACGAAGCTGGCCACGCTGCTGCAACTCTCGAGCAAGGAAGTAGCGCAGAGCAATGTGCTTCGTTCTGTGCTCCAATCTGTGCTCCTGACACAAGGCCAGCATGGCCTTGTTGTCGACGTACAGAACTGGAGGAGAACGAGGTGCCTCTCCCAAGTCGGTCAGCAGGTAGGTGAGCCAGCGTAGCTCCTGTGCAGCCATGGCTCCAGCGTAGATCTCAGCCTCACAACTGGAGCTGAGAACAGAAGAAGAGCGGGTAGACCGCCAAGAGACAGAACCGGAGCCAAGACTGAAGGTGTAACCCTGTGACGACCGCTGCGTAGCCAAGTCGTCAACCCAGGAGGCGTCAGCGTGACCAGTGAGGACAACTCGAGCCCGTCCTCCAAGCACGAGCCCCATGCCCGATGTACTGCACAAGTATCGTAACACCCTCTTCGCAGCATCCCAGTGCACCTTTCGGTGCCTACCGGGAGCCACGTAGCGAGCCAGAAGGCTGAGAGGGTATGCGAGGTCAGGTCATGTGCAAGTCATCAGGTACATGAGGCAGCCCACAAGCTCTGGATATGGGCCACTCGGCTCTACGGACTCGTCCGAAGGTGGAGCTGAGAGCGAGTGACCGGTAGGCAGAGGAGTGGACTGTGGCAAGGAGTACGTGAAGCCGAAGCGCTGAAGGACCTGCTGCACCATGTGTGACTGAGTCAAGGTAATGGTGCGCTGTGCTCTGTCCCGGGTGATCCGCAAGCCAAGATAGCTTGTCAGCTCACCCAGGTCTGTGCACGTGTGTCTCTTCTGCAGCTCGGACTTCACGTGGGCGAGTTCCTCAGTGTCAGCAGTAGCAAACACGAGGTTGTCTACGTACACGAGAACGTAGAACGGCTGCAGAGTAGTGTCAGTGCGTAGAAACAGAGAAGGGTCAGCAGTGGAAGGAGCAAAGCCAAGAGAAGCAAGAGTCGTCCTGAGTGTGTCGTGCCACTCACGGGGTGCCTGGCGGAGACCGTAGACTGGCCGCCGGAGGCTCCACTGAGTACCTGCAGGAAACGACCCAGTGAAGCTAGGTGGGCGGCGCAGCCAGATCTCCTCGTGCAGGCTGCCCTGCAGGAAGGCTGTGCTGAAGTCAAGCGAGTGGAGCTCGTAGTCACGCTGAGCAGCAACGTGCAGCAGTACCCGAAGAGTGGTCATCTTCGGGGTAGGGGAGAAGGTGTGAAAGAAGTCTGTCAAACATTATATATGTTGTGTTAGTTTAGGCTACAGTGGGTTAGCCTATAGGGGGTACACAATTCTAGGGTTAGGTACTTGTACTCTTTTCATTGCTAGTTCATTCATTCCTGTTCAGTGATTCCAACATGGTATAGAGCAGGTCCTTCCTAGGACCGAAATTTTCTAAGGGCCCACCACTACGTAACTACCTACCTACCTACCTACCCGTGCCCTAGGGCGCCTCGGCGTGTCACGCCCCTAGAGGCCCCTCTTGACGGCCCCGCGCTAGCCCCGTTCAGGCCCCGTCGGCCCCTTTAAGGCCCCGTTCAGGCCCCGCGCTAGCCCCGTTTAGGCCCTCGCTAGCCCCGTTTCAGGCCCCTTCGGCCCCGTTTCAGGCCCCGTCGGCCCCGCGCTAGCCCCGTTCAGGCCCCGTCGGCCCCTTGCTAGCCCCGTCAAGGCCCCGTTTGGCCCCGCGCTAGCCCCGCTCAGACCCCGATCGGCCCCGCGCTCGCCCCTCTAGGGCCCCAACCGGCCCCGTGCCTACCT